GTCCGAAGTCCATACGACGCCTCAGCTCTGCGGATGTCTCGGGGGTATGGCAAAATTGAATCGATTTTTTTTTAAATTTCTGTCTCTGGATTCGAATCCCATGCTTCGTATCCAAATGACATTTTCAATTTTTTCAAGCATCTTAAATATAATTTTACACTAATATTATTTTTTAAACAGCAAATACCTCATTACTCTCATATTCATCATTAACACTGAATTAGTAAACAAACTAAATCAGAAAAATTGAATGTATTTTCCCGACCGACATTGCAAACATTTCGTATATATTTAAGTCCATCATGGGCTATAGTTCATGCCTTTTGCTCAAAAATGATGTGGATGTGTCGGGGGTTTTACACGACTTTCAAAAATGGCCGCCAAACTCGGTTGGGACTAGGGACAATTGAATGGAAGCGAGGTAAGTAAGGCCTCATTAGTAAACAAAGTCTACTCAATACTATTTTTTGTGTCAAAGTCATTCATCTCACCAATTTGAGTTCTCTAAGAAGGCCTCTGAGAAGTTCTTTAAGAAGGCCTTTAAGAAGTGAGGCCTTACTTACCTCGCTTMCATTCAATTGTCCCTAGTCCCAACCGAGTTTGGCGGCCATTTTTGAAAGTCGTGTATGGCATGTGGTAAGCGCATGGTTTTCTTTGGAATTTTTGACGATGGACGTGGATTCGAATCCCACCGTATACATTTTTCGTTTCTTCTTTCTTTAAGCCATTTTTTATTTAAATTCTTATTATGATACGCCCATCCAATCCGTCTTGGATAAATCCTTATTCTGATACGTTTATCACGAGCATGTATACAACTACTTCAAAAAAACCTTGTCGGTCTGAGATCTAAGACTTGTGCTTTTAGGTTRGACTCAAATATGAAAAATCACATTTCTTACTCAAAGTTCGTGCCTCATAATCCAATCTAAGGCCCCGTCCACACTATGCCGGATAAATCTGAATCCGCAACTTTCACACCGAAGCCGAAAAATAAGTTTTCCGTCCACACATGAAAACGGAGAAAATGTTACGCGTCCACACTAGTCCGATCAGAGGCGGCAAAAACGCTTCATTGCACATCTGAGCATATGCATCGAAGCTGAAATTGAGCCTGCGGTGAATTTTTAGCCTTCCCGCCATGTTCCCATGACAATCATGACGTCATCGTATTCGAAAAGTTCCGGATACGAAATGTTCTCCGTCCACACTAATGTGGCTCGCCGGCGTTTTCAAGTTGTTCCACTCGAGACCGTATTCGAAAAAATTCGTTTTCGATGAAGAGTTGTTCCGGATTCGCCCGGACTAGTATGGACGGTAGGCCTAACCGAATGAATAAAAATTCGGATTCAAATTTATCCGGTATAGTGTGGACGGGGCCTTAAAGGAAACTACGTTGTTCGGCATTGAATATGTTGCAGCTTGCTACTCGGTCTAAGATTTCAGATTTCAGATCTCCAAACGATTAAAAAAAAAAAAAAGGTGTATGTATATAATAACATTGACCATTTTGTATTTCAGGGACACCAAACGCTGACCAACATCATAACTCACTCGACAGTGGTGCCGTTACAGCCATCGTGATAACAGCCTTGATCGTTTTAGCCGCTGTTGTCGTGGCCTACTGGTACATCGTACGTCRAAAGCAACCACGACAGGTGACACTAACAATGAGACGAGCCCAACGRATAAAGCGCTTAGATGCTTTGCACATAGATGTAGAGTACTCCAATACCATCCTTGATTCTCCCACAACTGATCGCTTGAGTGAAGGCTACTCTAACCTATGTTCGGACATTTCATTGGATCAAGAATTGCAGACTAAAACAGTGAGCAGTACTGATCATCATCTTAGCCCATCGGAAAAGCCTCAGGATAACGACATCACAGATTTGGATAAAATCACAGACAGCGATGCAATTATTTCTGATAATTTAAACGAGGTTKATGGAAGTTTAACAAATGCAAAATGTTCTAGTGAAGAACAGAGTGACGAAGAAATAAAGCCAGTACCACCTGAACGGTTCGATTKTGATAGCCAAAGCACCAACAGCTCCGAAATCAAATTCACTCTAGCAGTACTGAGAAATGAAGAAATGACTGAAGAGCATTTACATGATGAAAATCCTGGAATCGATTTTTCTGTTCGTGAAAGGAATAGTGATAAAGAAGAAGGTACTGAACTGGCCGACAACGATCGTGAATCGTTAATTGCAAAACAAAATGTTACGTCTTTTGAGAACCAAGGCTTGGAGGTCACTGATTAATTTTAATCTGAGATAGGAGGAGGGGCGAGTTAGAGCTACAAAATAGAAAGGTTGGACCTAAAGGCGGCTGGTTTTCATTAGCGACGGAAATCGGATTCGGGATCGGAGTCAACTTTGGAAGAAGTGAAAACCCAAARAAGGAATCCGAATCGGAGTCGGAAGCGCTTCRGATWGSATTCGGAAGGTATTCTTTTTCTYGTCTTGTGCTCACGATTTCGCGCAKGAGCTGYTTCCGASTCCGATTCTGTCACAAGTGAAAWCTACATTTGAGGAAGAAAMGTTTTKATGACAATGGAAAATACACGTTAACGCGTGCCGTGCCGTGCATTGATGTATTCGAGAAKTTTGATTGGATGACCAGTGATATCTAATCCCGAGTTGTGATTGGCTCAAACCAATGTCGTCTATTTCTTATCGTGGCTGTGCCGTTCCATTTTTCGGTCATACTAAATGCAAATATGGGGCTTCAAGGCTCCTATAGCCGAGGCAAATATTGGAAGATAAGTGTAAAGTGATACCAATAAAAAATAAAGGCTTTATTTGATTTGTTTGCTGAATAATTTACCCCTACCTTTTAAAGTGAAATCCTAGATTTGTCCTCAAATATCAAACATAAGAATGGAGGAAATATGTAAGCATATGTGAATGTATATAATCAAGATAATTAACCAAGTCTATTTGCAGAAATGAACRTGTGGTATGTTTGAATGTATAGTCGATATCTTAT